TCTATACCAACTTATAACACCCCGCCCGCGTCTAGCTACTAAATGGCAAAATGCATTTGGAAAATTATATGGGTAAATAATAAAAAGTTATATTGTTGCTTAATCTTATTATTTAAACAAGTTAATTGATTTGTAAATGGCCAAATAGTGTATACAACGGAAACATACCTGTGCTGGTCGTCGCCGAACCAGAACTCGTAAAACAGATTTGCGTCAAAGATTTTCACGTATTTCCCGACCGGAACCGTAATCGAGTCGTTCACCCGATTCTCGGCAAACACTTAGTGACCGTTTGTGGCGATGACTGGAAGCGGATCCGATCGATAGTGACTCCAACTTTCAGTTCCAGCAAAATGAAGAATATGTTTCCAATGATCAGAAATTGTTTGCAAAATTTTATCAATGAGTTGGAAGTGTTGGCCATCGATGGTAAAGAGGTAAACGTGAAGACACTGTACGGTCAGTACACAATGGATGTGATCTCTACGTGTGCTTTTGCCACCAAAACCAATACATACAAAGACCCGAACGATCCGTTTCTACTGAACGCTCAGAAAGTGTTCACAATTAACGTTAAGCGTATGATTGCTATGTTATTATTGCCGAAAGCATTTTCTTCATCTTCCCGGAGCTGAACGTCGGCGTCACTATAGATCGGATCCGTTTCCAGTCGTCGCCGCTTTCGGCCACCAAATGGCGGCTCAGAATCGGATGCCTTCTGGTGTTAGTGTTGCGATCAGTGAAGACGTTAAAGTCTTTCACACAAATCTGTTTTATGAGCTCCGGTTCGGCCACTATTAGCACCGGTCTGTTTCCCGAATAGATCCTATCGTTTGTTATTTTTAAATAAAAGCATTTAATATTGCACTTAAAGACCAGAGTTATTGCAATCACATACCCATATACAGTGCCATATAATTTCTGCCACTGGACGGCCAGATGTGGTCGCGCTGTTATGAAATACGACAGCAAATTCCCAAATATAGGCAGAGGTTTTGGTCCCTTTACGTCGCGTTTTGACCAAAAATTGAAATTTCTTATCGCATACCTTATTGTATATATTGTATATAATTAAACACAACTTTTATAATTATATAATTTTAAATAAAATTTCATATGTTTATTACCAATAGAATAGCGGAATTGTAGACAAAACACCGTATAATAGCCACGAATTGCCAAATATTACATCCATAGTATGTAAAGAATATAAGAAATATTAAAACAATAAATTTTTGTCGATTTATATTTAGTTTATAAAAGTTAGTTATTTTGTAATTCTTTATATTAAGTATTAAATAAATAACTAAATCATTAGAGACTCTCAATATATTGATAATAGTGAGTGAGTCTACACGAGAACAAGTATTTAATGAATGATAAATTCAATGCTAACATTAGTTTATATACTGCAGAGTAGATGTTTTGACAAATGTACTAAAGTAGGTAATTATTGATTATATGATGGGAGGTTCAGTACGATATCAGCGCTTTTTAGTTCAGTTCACAATGTACTCAAACAGACTCAATAAACCAATGCTTATATTAATCGTTTTTTCTGTTATCAAACAAATGAATACTTGTTTTTTGAATTGAAAAATATGCAATAATTATTCGTATATCTAGTACATTTTTTGAATTAATATACTATAACAAAACGTGTATATTTAGGTGTCAAGGTTAATAGTTCAGAGAATTGAGCACGCTGAATAACAATTTTACCCTAATTTTAGCTCACAGTAGTTTATTACTGGATTAAATTTATTATTGTTTGGTGTATACAGTAGAAAATATAATTGTTTAATGAAAGTTTTACTGTAAATCAGTAAAGTATCACTTATAATATTTAAATATACATTTTGTATTATTTAACTATTATTCTTAATTTGTGTTTAAAGTGATAAATCTAATTTAATTAAAAAAAAAGTACAATGTTTTATAAAATAAGTTTAATATTTTTTATATTTATTAAATTATTATTTGGGATAAAAAGTATTTTTTACAAATTGGCAAAAATTAATTTTATCAAAAATGTTAACAGTAATAAATTTAATATTCAACATTTATTGATGGAATAATTGTAAATACAACTTAAGTATACATTTAGCATCATGGTTGAAAAAGCATAGGCATGTATAAGTTTGTGTTTTATCTCTTTTCAATGCCGATCATTACTCTCTTTGGCGAATGAATAGCAAGACTTATATTCAACGGAAGGGGAACTTCAGCGTTAGGGCTGCGGACAAATCGGTAACTCTTGATTACATGAGCCAACGCGAGCTTAGCCTCCATTAATCCGAAGCGCATACCAATGCAATTGTGAGGTCCGGCGCCGAACGGTATGTAAGTATAGGGTTTGATTTTGTGACGGTTTTCGGGCAAAAACCTCTCCGGAATAAATGTTTCGGCGTTTTCGTAGTGCTCTTCATTGCGATGGATCGCAAACACAGGGATTTCAACCAATTGTCCCTTTTTCAGAGTAATGCCTGTATTTCCCAACTTGTAATCTTCAACCGCATGTCTTCCGAGAACAACCGCCGGTGCGTTCAGTCGCAATGTCTCTGATAAGACTGCATCCAAATACGACAGTTTGGATAACAAATCGTAATCAATCTCTCCTTTGCTGTCCACTGATGTCATGATCTCTTCGTGTAATTTCTGTTGACAAATAGGATTGAGCGCCAACTCATACGAAGCCCACGTGAGTGTTGTGGCCGTTGTCTCATATCCGGCCACAAAGAAAACCCACGCCTGGGCGAGGATTTCATTCTCGGTAATATACTTATTGACTGAACCTAAAACCTTTCGCTCCACCTCTTTCTCTTCCTCCCCTTTAATACATTGAAATATTTAAATAAAATACATTACAAACCAATGTATAAAATAAACCAAATAATACTATAATTACAGAACAATAAGAGATCACAAGACTGTACCTTCATTTACATGATGTGCTTCATTGACATCATTCTCGTCATAATGTTTAACATGTTTGCCATTATTATTGTCAGCATTTGTCTGTGCGCTCATCAATAACTCGATGAAATCGTTGTACTTCTTGTCGCCTGTCTTTCGGCCTTTCATTATATGTCGGGTTATATTAAGGAAGAACTCGTTAGCGTCGGCGTCGGCCTGATGTGTCATATTGAGCAGCTTTAACACCGCTTTCGGCAATAATAACATAGCAATCATACGCTTAACGTTAATTGTGAACACTTTCTGAGCGTTCAGTAGAAACGGATCGTTCGGGTCTTTGTATGTATTGGTTTTGGTGGCAAAAGCACACGTAGCGATAACATCCATTGTGTACTGACCATACAGTGTCTTCACGTTTACCTCTTTACCATCGATGGCCAACACTTCCAACTCATTGATAAAATTTTGCAAACAATTTCTGATCATTGGAAACATATTCTTCATTTTGCTGGAACTGAACGTTGGAGTCACTATCGATCGGATCCGCTTCCAGTCATCGCCACAAACGGTCACTAAGTGTTTGCCGAGAATCGGGTGAACGACTCGATTACGGTTCCGGTCGGGGAATACGTGAAAATCTTTGACGCAAATCTGTTTTACTAGTTCTGGTTCGGCGACCACCAGCACAGGTATGTTTCCGTTGTATACACTATTTGGCAATTTACAAATAAATTAACTTGTTTAAATAATAAGATTAAGCAACAATATAACTTTTTATTATTTACCCATATAATTTTCCAAATGCATTTTGCCATTTAGTAGCTAGACGCGGGCGGGGTGTTATAAGTTGGTATAGATATGTGCCAACAAATGGGAGTGGTCTAGGTCCTTTTATTCCCTGTTTTGACCAGTAATTAAAATTTCTTGTAAAATACCTATAAATAAAATATTTAATGAATATAAATTTATAATGCATTAATCGGTAAATAATTATTTAAATAATTTTAAATACCAATAAATTAAAGGAATCGATGAAAGGATTCCAAAGAAAATCAAAGTGAAAATATTTGTTTCCATAATTAATTGAACAAATATTAAACAAAATATATTTAAAAGTTAACTATAATTGTGTCAAATCTCTAATGAAATGAATGTAATTTAATACCGAATTTATATAATTTAGTGTTTAAATAAAAGATGTAATAACTTTATATTATCTCAGATTCAGTACTTAATGTACCGTATTCATAAGTAAATAATATAGTATAATATAGTTAATAGAAAACATAGTTATTAATTGGAAAATATTCTGGCATTAACTCGTTTCTTAATGATAAAAAATCATTGAAAATTATTATCATAAATGTAATCGACTATTACTGATAGTCATGCATAATAAACTTGAAAGCATAATGATATAAGTTGTTGGGCTTAATGCTTGGAAATGTCCTAAAAATATAAATTGAATTATAAGATATAAACAATGAGTACTCGATGTACTAATCCATTTGAATAAGAATTTTCTTCTATTTATTTTTATTCATATAATTATTGCATTTGGTTAGCATTACAGTACATATAATGATGCTTATATTTATCATTTTTAAAAAATATTTATTAAAATTTGTAATTATAAACGATTGATTTATAATTACAGAATTATACAGTTGTATACAACGACTGTGTTATCGCTTTTCAATGCTAACAATCATTCTCTTAGGCGTACGAAAACTTGTGCTCAAATTCATCTGAAGGGGAACTTCAGTGTTGGCGCTGCGGACAAATCGGTACCGTCTTATCAATTGAACCAAACCTAGCTTAGCCTCCATTAACCCAAACCGCATACCAATGCAATTACGAGGTCCGGCGCCGAACGGTAGGTAAGTATAGGGTTTGATGTTATGACGATTTTGGGGCAAAAACCTCTCCGGAATAAAACTTTGGGCGTTTTCGTAGTACTCCTCGTTGTGATGAATGGCAAAAATGGGAAACTCCAACAATTGTCCCTTTTTGAGTGTAAGTCCAGTTCCGGGCAATTCGTAGTCTTCATACGCCTGTCTTTCGAGTTGAATTGCCGGCGGATTAAGTCTTAGTGTCTCTGAGACGACTGCATCCAAATACGACAGTTTTGACAGTAAGTAATAATCAATGTCTCCATTGCTGTCCACCGCTTCCATCACTTCTTCGTACAGTTTTTGTTGACAATTAGGATTGAGTGCCAACTCATAGGTTGCAAACGTGAGAGTTGTGGCCGCCGTCTCATAGCCGGCCGCGAAGAAGACCCACGACTGCGCCAACATCTCATCCTCCGTCAGATATTTCTCGGCACTCATTAATGTCTTTCTCTTCACTTCTCTCTCTTCTTCGCCTTTCATTTGAAAACAACAGAGAAATAAAGTTTTGTTAACTCAAAGATAGGCCACAAGACTATACCTTCGTTGAGATGATGGGCTTCGTTCACATCATTCTCGTCGTCGGTCTTAATATGTTTGCCGCTATTATTGATGGCATTGTTTTGTGCGCTAATCAAAAGGTCCATTAAGTCGTTGTACTTCTTGTGGCTATTCTTTCGCTCTTTAATTATCTGTCGGATTATATTGAAGAAGAACTGATTGGCCGACTCGACCGCGTGGTGTTTCACATTCATTACATTTAATACAAACTTTGGTAATAATAGCATCAAAATTAGTCGCTTAACGTTTGTTACAAATACTTTGCGCGCATTCAATACAAACGGATCGTTCGGGTCTTTGTATACATTGGTTTTGGTGGCAAAAGCACACCTTGAGATCACATCCATTGTCAACTGGCCGTACATTGTGACCATGTTTATCTCATTACCATCGATGGCCAACACATCCAACTCATTGACAAAATCCTTCAGACAGTTGTTGATCATTGGGTACACGTTCTTCATTTTGGCGGAGCTAAAAGTGGGTGAGAGTACAGATCGGATGCGTTTCCAGTCATCGATATTAACGGACGCCAAATGCTTCTTAAGGATCGGGTGTTGCGTTCGGTTGTGATTCCGTTCGGGAAATATATGAAAGTCTTTGACAAAAATTTGTTTCACGAGTTGCGGCTCCGATATTATTAGGAGAGGTGTGTTTCCGTTGTATTCACTGTTTTTATCAATAAATATTACAAGTATTGATACAATTATTTGGTTTTATTTAAACGACCAACACTCAATTGACAACATTACCCGTATATGTTTCCAAACTTTTTATGCCATTTGAGAGACAGCTGTGATTTGTGTGTCATAAATTGGTATAAGTATGTACCAAATATAGGTAACGGCCTTGGTCCATTTATACCTTGTTTCGACCAAAAATTAAAATTTCGTGTTAAATACCTAGAATAAATATGATAGATTAAAACAATTATGGTCTACCTTTTCAAATATCTATTGACTTAAATACCAATAAATTGTGGGAATCGCTAAAAGGATTCCGCAGAGAAAATATGAATTTAAAAAACACATTATATTTGCATCTAAAATAGAAAATATTAAATTTATTATATTTTTGTAAATAAAAGATCACCTAGTGTGATCACTATATTATCAAAAATAATATAATTTGTTTAATATTTAATAAATTGTTATATTTACCTGATTTAAATTAAAAACATCTTAATTGTTTGAAATCCAGATCCATAATGATTATAACATATTTGCTAATTAATATAAATCGATTTTATAAAAGCAATTTTATTATACTAATTTATAACTAAAATTTTAATATTTAATTGAATTTTATACATTCAAGAAAGTATTAAATAACAAAAAATAATTAAATACCAATAAAATATATCCGTAAAATGAATACTTTGAAGTCCCATAAGTTATGGACCATAGCTAAAACCAATCTACTGTATTTAGCTGAAATTGAAATTGTACATTTAATAATTATATGCTAAAGAGCAATCAATTTACAACTTTAGTTATACCGTACTTACAATGTTACACTTTAAATTAGCAGTACATGTGTAAATTGGTGGCTTTTAGATTATAATATAATGAGAACAATACAACTAACTTTACGATTTTGTATGAAACTCGTAATTTCAATTATTTAATCGTTATTAATTCTAAGTATTTATAATGATAATTACATAGATTTTTAACAACAAACTTATAATTTCAGATTACATAATTAGATTTTAATTATCTGTTGTACTTTATTCTATTATTTATAGCAAATAATGTTAAAATACTTAATACATTAAAATGTTAATAAAATTATACCTGTACAAATTAAATCTGTACAAAGATTTATTATAATTATAAAAAATTAATTTATTTTAAATATTATAATTACATAAAATTGTACCGTAGTTTGCAAGTTCATTAAACAATAGTTAATAATAATTGCACTCAATATTTGGCTAATCTCTGTGTTTAATATTAATGATGACTCGTTTTGGTGTATTTAAAAGTGGATGAATCTTATTAATGAGGGGAACGTCTGTTTGCGAACAGCGGCACAGTTGGTATCGCCTGACAATGTGTGCCAACGCCAACTTAGCCTCCATCAGAGCAAACCTCATACCAATGCAATTGCGAGGCCCGACACCAAACGGCAGGTAAGTATAGGGCACTAATCGATCACGATTTTCAGGCAGAAACCTTTCGGGTATAAACTCATACGGTTTCTCGTAGTACTCATCGGACATATGGAGGGCATGAATGGGCACTTCCACGGCCTGACCCTTCTTGACGGTAATGCCGGTGTCGCCCAACTTGTAATCCTTAATACACTCTCTGCCTATCCTAAGGACAGGCGAATGGAGACGCAGTGTCTCCGACACGACGGCGTCCATGAATGGCAGTCCAGACAACACGTCGTAATCGATCTCTCCGTTCGCGTCCACCGAAGACATCACCTCTTCGTACAGTCTTTGCTGAATGTGTGGATTGAGTGCCAATTCGTACGAACAGAATGTGAGCGTCGAAGCAGTCGTTTCATATCCCGCCTGAAAGAAGATCCACGCGTTCGCCAGGATTTCGTCGTCAGTAATGTATTTGTCGGCCGTTTCCGATAATAATTTGTTCTCCACCGCCAACTCCTCGGCACCTAATTTTAATCATAAAAGTCATATATAATTATCTTTGAATTAATTAATCTTAAAGTATATTAAATTAAATATTAATAACGAATATTCCTTACCTTCGTTGCGATAGTGAGCATCTTTGGCATCATTTTCATCCCTCAACACTTGTTTATTATTATTATTGGTGTTTTGCTGGGCGTTCAGCAAAAGTTGTATGAAATCGTTGTACTTTTTGTTACCATTTCTGCGCTCTTTAATGATATGCCGAGTGATGTCAAAGAAGAACTCGTTGGCCGACTCATCCAAACCGGAGTATAAGTGAAAGAATTTGAGCATAAATTTGGGTAAAAAGAGAAACGAAAGAATATAGAGTTTATTCGGAGAGAATATCTTCAATGTATTCTTCATGAAAGGATTGTTGGGGTCTTTATGTGTATTGGTTTTGGTGGCGAAGGCACACGTGGCGATCACATCCATCGTGAAGTTGCCAAACATGTCCTTAGCGTTGATGTCTCTGCCCTGTTGTGCGCATACGTCCAGTGCGTCCATGAATTGGTTGAGACACTCGCGTATCATTGGATACATTTTCTTCATCTTTCCCGACGTGAATGTCGGCGTTATTATGGATCGCAAGCGCTTCCAGTCGTCGCCTTTGGCTTCAATGATATGGTGTTTGAGTATCGGATGAATCCTCTTCTTGCGGGTCCTGTCGGCGAATGAGTGAAAGTCTTTTACCAAAACATTTTTTATGAGTTCCGGTTCGCCGACAGTTAGCGCCGGTGTTTTTCCATTGAATATTCTGTGATTATAATTTATAAAAATAAAATATTTTTATTTTAATAAAATGTTATCTATTGGTAAAATAGTACAGTATTTATTTGAACCGATATATACCCGTATAGTTTGCCGTATTTCTTATACCATTGGACTTCCAAATGAGGCTTTGGTGTTAGAAACTGATGGATTAATGTCCCAAAACCTATCCATGGTTTCGGACCATTTATATTGTGTTTTGTCCAGTAATTGAATTTATACGTCAAATACCTGTTCTCCACAATTCGTAATTAACAAAAGTGTTAAAATAAATCAATTAAATTAATTCAATTTACAAAACATACCAATATATGAGTGGAACTGAAGTAATAATGCCATATAAGAGCCATGAACTCCACAAACTGGTCTCAGTTTCCATAATTTGTTTTGAAAACTTATAATTTTTCACAAAAAAAACTTTTGCCGATCTTTTAATAGTTGTCAAACATTTAATACAAATAACTGACAAAACAATCTGTATTTATATAAAAAGTTGTATAATTAAAGTAAATGCAAAATCATATCATTATTGTATATAATCTCATAATACTTTACTCATATGACTACTACTACTTCTCCACTTAAATTATTGCATAATTATAATCTTTATAAAATATTAATGTCGCAAATAATATAGTTTAGCACTTTTTAAATTAAGAATTTGCAAACAAGACAAACATGTTTAAATCAATAAATATATTGTAATATAACTATGTTGCTAAATTATGTAAAATTAATTTTAATTATCCAAACCATTAGAAAGAAAATAATATTCTTATGCTAACTCTATCGTGTTATATACTGATATTATACTGTATACCAGAAATATTATCATAATACTTTCTATGTTTATGTGAGTGCAATAGTATTCAATTTGAAATTATTTTTATATTTTAATACAAGAATGTAATCATTTGAGTGGAAATGAACTCTCTATTTATTGGGTTTGTATCATCATGATTTGTAAAACTGAATAACAGCTAATTTATTTAAATAAAATATTCATTTATTATTAGCTTATAAATTATAAAGTTAAGTTATAATAAATTATTCGCAAATATTATTATTCCATATTTGTAGTTGGTAAATTACTGCATATGAACTTATTATATATAAATTATTTGATTTTTAATTAAAATCTGGCTTAATTCAAGCTTATTAATAAGCCAGAAATGCATTAATTAACAAATTTTAACAAATAAAAGTCGAATATTTCAATATTTCGAAAATAATATAAAATTAGTTTACTGTATTTTTGATTTAAAATATTAATTTACACTTTAATTTCTAATATGGGTACAAAATTAACTCGGGATAATCATCATCATAACTATTACAATTATAATCAGTGTAAAATTTTATTAATCGTGTTAATGTTTAAATAAAACACATTTTTCTACAATCTATGCATTTAATGTCAGCGTTTATTTGTACCAAAATAACCAAATGAACTATATCAAATAAATTATTACAAACATAACTCAAATTGTTAAGCATTACAATTTGAGTAAAATAGGTACATCATAGTATAAATGCACTATTGTAAATAATCATTAAAATTTAATTGTGATTTTACAACTGTATTACCTTGTGCTGTGTAATTTGATTTAATAACTGACTGATAAAAGGTAGAACATTTACATCGTGTATTTGATGTAAAAATAAATGATCAAAACTAAATAATTATCTCTTTTGTATGCCTACGACTACACGTTTGGGAGTGTGAAGGAAGAGATTGCGTAACAATTGTATGGGTCTATCGGTGCGGACACTCTCAACGAACCGGTACCTCAACACCACGTGAGCCAACGCCAACTTGGCTTCCATTAGACCGAACCTCATTCCCACACAGTTTCGGGGACCGCCGCCGAAGGGCAGGTAAGTATAGGGCACTATATTGTGCCTGTTTTCAGGCAAAAAACGGTCGGGAATGAAAGAATCGGGGTTTGGAAAGAATTCATCAAGGTGAGCCATAGCGTAAATGGGCACCTCTACTGACTGTCCCTTTTTAATGATGATACCGGTGTCGCCCAACGGGTAGTCCTCCGATGACAGACGGGGCGTGAAGTCTAAGTGTCTCTGAGATGACTGCATCCAAATACGGAAGTTTTGTCAATAAATCGTAATCAATATCCCCTTTACTGTCGATCGATGTCTGGATCTCTTGGTATAGTCTGTGTTGGATGTGATGATTGAGTGCTAATTCATACGTTGCAAACGATAAAGTGGTTGCCGTCGTTTCATATCCGCCCTGAAAGAAAACCCACGCATTCGCCAGTATTTCATTGTCAGTAATATATCGGTTGACTGCAGACATCTTCTTCTGTTCGGCAACTTTTTCTTCTCCTAAAAAATATATTAAAAATGCGTTAAAACATTAACTCTTACTTCAGAAATCTTATTTATACCTCCATTCATGTGATGCAATTCGTTGTTGTATTTTTCATTTGTAATGACATTATTATCATTCTTCTCTAAGTTTATCAATAAATCTAAGAAATCGTTGTATTTGTTTCTATTATTCTTCCGGCCATTCATTATCTGTCGGACAATTGTGAAGAAGAATTCATTGGCCGACTCTTCGATGGCGTGTTTCATATTAAATAATTTCATAACAAGTTTTGGTAACATAATTGACAGCAGAAGTCGATAGGGCTTTGGATTAAGGGATTTGTTGGCATTGGTCACAAACACACTGTTAGGATCGGTGTGTGAATTGGTTTGAGTGCCAAAAGCACACGAAGAGATCACATCCATTGTCAGATTGCCGTACATTGTCTTCATGTCGACCTCATTGTTGTCAATGGCGTATACGTCCAGCGCTTCCAACAACTCATTTAAACACGTTTTGATCATTGAATACATTTTCCTCATCTTTGCCGACGAGAAGGCGGGAGTCATTACGGATCGCAAGCGTTTCCATTGGTCGCCATTAGTGGCGATCAGATTATTGACGAGTATTGGGTGCGCCCGAGACTCCAATAGTGTGTTAGTCTTCTTACTGTTAAATACGTGAAAGTCTTTCACCAAAATCTTTTTGATGAGCTCCGGATCGGCCACCGATAGGATTGGCGTATTTCCCTCAAACGTTCTGTCATTTATTATACAGTCAAATACCTATCCTGTAAACTACTCTATGTTATCAACCAAATCCCAAATCTCCACTACATCGACTTAATGTTAAAATTATCTCTATGGTATTAACTAATCTATGTTATCAACCAAATCTCAGGAACCATTCTGTTGACAGCATCGATAGTTGACTGTATATTGTTTAAGGTATTTTATATAAAATAAATGTTTAAACCTATTTTTAAAATAAACTCTAATTACCCATAAATTTTACCGTATTTGCGAATCCAATCCAACTCTATATAAGAGCGTTCCCTAAAGAATTGGTATATAATAGTACCAAAACCAATGACCGGTTTCGGGCCATTCACTCCTCTCTTTGTCCAATAATTATGATTTCTTGTTAAATACCTTCAGATAAATGCAAATATAATTACAAAATTAAGTTATCACAATATAATTATCCAATTATTATATTGCAAATCTATACGAACCAATATGTCAACGGAATTGTTGCTAAAATAAAGACAAATTACCAAGAACTTGAAATTGCTTATAATATAACTAATAATGTGATTAAAAATCCATCGATTTATATACTATTACAATGTAAAAATAAGTATAGACATTAAATATACTGTATACAAATATAAACATATACAGGGTGTTTTTTATTGGACTACAACATTATAAGGTCGAATATCTCGAAAGGTATTTGGTCTAGAAATTCAAATGACATATCAAAATACTCATCAACTGTGGGAGTTTTTGTTGTGATATGGTCAACATGGTAAACCTCCTATTTTAATAATAATCTCTAATCAAGCAAAATTTTATCATTTTTTCCATAGACATAATGTTAAATTCAAACTTATTTTTGAGCAATATCCTCAAATAGATATCAAGTTATTTTTTCATCTGTTTAGATTATATAATCAAAATTCTTGTGCTGTATGTAGATTAGGATTTATTAATAATTTGTCAATATTTCGTATGTATATGATTTCAAAATACACAACTTTTGTAAAAAAATCTTCTATAATACAAAAACTACACACAGCACAAGAATATTGATTACATATTCGTAAACAGGAGCAAAAATGACTTGATATCAATTTCAGGATTTTGCTCAAAAATAAGTTTGAATTTAACATTATGTCTATGGAAAAAAATGATAAAATTTTGCTTGATTGGAGATTATTATTAAAATAGGAGGTCTACCATGTTGACCATATCACAACAAAAACTCCCGCAGTTGATGAGTATTTTGATATATCATTTGAATTTCTAGACCAAATACCTTTCGAGATATTCTACTTTATAATGTTGTAGTCCAATAAAAAACACCCTGTATTTTGTATATTAAATACTACTAGTTAATTTTGCCCTATATGAATAAATAAATAATAATTTATGACATTAATTAATTGGGTATCTTAGAACAATGTTATTGTCAATATAATCAAATAACAACCCTCGGTCATATGCATCTGGTAGTTCATAATTTGCACAATTCGGTATCAATGCATGGTAATGGTTTGGAGACTCAGCATTCGGGGTCATTCCAACATGTGCTAAATTTAAATGTGTATTTTGAGGTGTATTTTTCTAACCATACTGATGGTGCAATTATTGTTCGAATACAGTTTTGTTTAAATATATTTATTGGCCTATTTATAGCAATTGATGTTGCTAAAATAGAAATACAATTGGCCCAACCTCCGGCAGATGAAACAGATCTTAACTCAGTTAAAATATTTGACCCATAGCGAGTGGCATATGAATTAAAATATTGAATATATTTTGTCATTGATATTAAAGTAGCAAAACGAATAATATCACTATATTTTCGATTGCCGAATAATTCCATAGAAAGTGAATGATAAAAGCAAGAACCGTCATCTGGAACATTAAATTCTTTAAATGTATGCACCATTGAATCAGAAACTACATTATAGTGTACATCTAATGGAATATCATATCTCACATCTGAAACAATTACTTCTGAAACACTTGCTGGAGATTTATTTCTTAATATAAGAGATACAATGCTATATAATTGATTATATTGTTCAAAAACATGTGTTAATGAAATATTAGAAATATTGTTTAGTGTATAGTTTATTTGTCTTAAAATATTAATTATGTTTTGTGATAAACTATCACATGTATCTTGAATTTGAGTTTGAATTTTAAAATTTGTTGGTCTCTCTTCTGTATCTGTAAGTTTGACTTTTTTGAATGGAGAATGCAAAGACGTTGAGTCAGTCTCAAAATCATTCCGTTTAAAAGTTTGAATTGAATTTTCATTATTGAAAACTTCTTGTACTACATTTTTAGCAACATATTTATTTTCATGTGTTTTAGTAAATATTTTTAATGATTGTTTAGATGTAACTCGTGATAAAGCAACATATAACTGACCGTGGCTAAAAACATCCTTTTCGAGGTGAATTGCAACTTTTTCTAAAGTCTGACCTTGACTTTTGTTAATTGTCATTGCATAACATGGTCTAATTGGGAATTGACGTCGCCGTAATGTAAATGGCAAAGTTTCATCTAGTTTGGTTAATACGATTCTAGGTATCGAAACCTTTTGTCCTTTATATGATCCTTTAATAATTTCAGCATCAATTAAGTTTCTTTTTAAAGATAATATTCTTAATTGAGTACCATTACATAATCTTTTTAACGGATATATATTTCTCATTAGCATCACTGGAATACCAACTTTTAAAATTAATTTATGAGGTGGAATTCCACTTAAGTTTAAAGAATTCAAAAATTCAATCTCATATTTGTCTTGATTTTCTGTTTCAGCAATAGTATCATAACTAAAATACGTTTTTGTTTCTCCTGATATTTTTGCCATAATTTTATTATTCATTTCATCTACAATATCATTTTTTGTTGCTAAAATTGTCCATTCAGTAAGAGTATTATTTTCAATAATAACATTCAAAAAACTATCAAAATTTGTTACATTATCGCATATTTCTTTGGGTTGTTCAATGAAATCAGGTGGTTGTACATATCGTTCAGTACCTTCACCAACACGTAGTAAAAATTCGGAAAAATCTTTAAATTCACTTATTTTTGTTGTGATATGATTTAATCTTTCGTTGATTTTTAAATGACAAACTTTGATTTTATTCCAAAGTATAGATCTATTCATACAACTATTAACAATGTCGAATCTCATTCCTTTTGGAATTACAGGAAGGATTTGTCTAAAATCACTTCCAAATAACATTGGTTTACCACCAAATGGAACGGTTGGCTTATTCATTATATCTTGGAATGTTCTATCAACACATTCATAAATTAATTTACTCATCAATGGAGCCTCGTCCCATATAATTAGTTTACATATTCTAATTAATTCTGCATGCTTGGTTTGGCAAGAAATTGAACATCGAGAGAATTCATTTATTACTATAGGAATTTTAAATCTTGAATCTGCTGTAATACCTTTATTTAATAATATTGCAGAAATTCCAGATGTTGAAACACTTAATACAATGTCACCTTTACTTCTTAAAAAATCTGTTAAACAATTAAATAAGAATGTTTTACCTGTTCCGCCTGGTGCGTCTATAAAAAATAAATTATTGTGGTCACGATTAGTTGACTCTATTACTTCATCAAATATTTGTTTTTGTTCGTTATTTAATTTGTTAATATTTTCTGAAATCACATGTTTTAATAATTTTAATTCATTATTATTTAGTTTTTGTTCTGTAATAATTTTAGATTCAGTTTGATGTTGAATTAATTCTAAATTAATTTGAGGCATTGAAGTCAAAAATTGCTTTGATAAAGACATATTTTGTTGATTTAACATTTCTTCAATTTCAATCAATGCATTATTGACAGCATGTGGGTCAATTAATTGACTGGAAACCGAATCTATTAAATACTCTCTTTGAAAATCTTCTGTTAAAAATCATCAAATTTATCCCACAATGCCATTGGATTGGACGGATTTGAATAAATCAAAATATATGCAAATAATTCTCTTAATTGTTTAGGAGTTTGGTAAATTAGGGCTTCAGATAACGTTTCATCCCAAATTTCGTCTGATTCAAGTAATCCAAAAGCAATTGCAGCTTGTTGAAAAGTGGGATATATTGTGCCATTTACGGTTTTCAAATCTATAAAACATGTCGCCCCTTTAGTATAATTTAACAGTAATCTTAAAAAGAATCTCTCTTGTTCATTTGGACTAACCGAATACATTCTACCGATGGTTGCATCCGAGTTACTTAGTCGTTTTTTCCAACTATGTTTTCCATACCAAAAGTATTTAGGGAATTCAGGATAAGTTAAATGTCTTCTCTCTATATTGTTTTTATTAAAATCCATCCATTTTGTTAATGTTGTATGCCTATTTACATTTAATATACTTTTATCATTGCTTTCAAATGTGACATTTTGTTCATTTTCAAGATGAACTGCTAATCGATAAACATTTGGCTCAATATGTGATAAATCATAACAGAAAATTCTCCGTAATGCTTTTGAAGAAGATACATATCTAACCGATTGATATTTTGTTATTTCATCATTTGATATTTCAGCAACTCCTGAATCATTTCCTTTGTGAATATATTTTGTTATGTATTTAACTGCTTTTACAGATTTGCATAATTCAACATTTATATGACAATTATATTTTGTTGTTAAATATAAATTGTACGGAACAACCATACTATTATTAACTTTATGCTTTTTATTACATATATTTTCGCTTCTATTATCTCGTCTTCTATATTCTGGATAACCTTCCTTGATTTTTGTTATATCGTTAAACTTTTTAAGAAATCCCTTTGAACAAATTTTTTCATTATGTCCTTCGCGTTCAACCATACATGGTGCATATGGGTTGTCTTGACCGCAAGGCCCATGTAATTGACAATTCATTACTGTTTCATATGCTTCAGAATATAAATCTTTGTCTGGAATTTCTGCAGAGATTATGTTATCAATATCTTCGATAGTTCTTGGTTTGTCTTCATTCGCAAGAATTATTAAAATATGAGCGTGTGGTAATCCGCGTTTTTGGAATTCAATTCGATAAATAATTGCAATAACAGTGCCGAAAATCTTTTTCTTTTTAATATCATCAATTAAATCATTTAATAATTTATTAAAAACTCTATTAACAATATCAGGCCTATCTCCCGGCGTTTGTCCTGGAAGTAAATTTTCTATAACTTCTTGTCTGTACGGATTCATAGTAAATGTAATGAACAAATCTGGTTGTCCTTTATCGGCAACAACTGCCATTGCATCTCTATACTTTTGTTGCATATATCGTGGTGAGCCTACAAAACTACTTGGCAAAATAATTTGTTTCCCAATATC